GTGAAATATCAGAAGCCCTGTTTTTTGAATGAGCAAACCAACGTGAGAAGAACCAAATATACTGCAAATCGCTAGGGATGAGTTTCCCCAAAAAAATTTGTCAGCTCTTTTGATATGTGTGGTTATTGTTCACGCATAGCGGCAACTCTCGCGGACGAGATCTCAACATTGGTAAAAATTCAACTTGGTTTAGGATCACCAAATAATGTTAGCTTAATAAATTTGTTCTGTATAGCTTTTTTATACAGTCATTACTTGATTTATGAAAGAAAGTTGTCTTGAATTTAACAAATTACAGCGGCCAAACAACTGCATTTGTTATCATTTACGCGTAGCAACAACTTTCACCGACACGATATCAACAACATTGGTAAAAATACAACTTGGCGTTCGATCACGAAATATTGTTGGCTTAATTTGCTCTTTGTAGCTTTTTTATACAGAACACTTGATTTATGAAAGAAAGCTGTCTTGAATTTAACAAATTACAGCAGCCAAATAAGACAACAGTATATTTGCTGAACAGCATTTTTTTGCCTGACAGTCACACATGACAAATTTGCATAGTATCAAAGCATGTGAAATTTGAAACCTACTTCTCAGGTCCTATATTTGCATGCTATGAAAAGATATATTTTTCGGCACTTCTATAAACCAGATAAACTCACCGGCCTAAACTTTAAAGCAGCTCCATGAAATGACAGGTTTTTAAATCCAACGTAGACTTTTTCCAGTACAGTTTGCTGGCACATCCGTTTGTCCAAAAGAAGCCAAAAGGTATGACAGCGCTTTCAGAAGCGTTGCCGATTGGTCTACGATTCATTTCAGCTTGAAGTGTTTAACAAAACCTGCAGGCAGTTACAAATAAAGCTATCATCTCAAAGTTTTTTAAAAACAGGTAGTTTTCAATTTGGTGCAATGGATATAAAGCAACTTTATTGAAAGCATTTTTTGCATAAATACGGAAATAGCAATCCTTCATAAAGTGAATTTTAATACGCAACAGTCTAAAGGTCGCAGAGGTGAAAATGTGTTTGCGTGTTAGTCACGGTAAAGCTTTAACATCAATTCTTGAAATCACTCGAGAATTTTGGCCATGAGGCAAATGTACTTAAAGTTTTTAGGCCATCGCGAGCTACAAGAATTGCGTCCTGTGCTACACGAATCGCGTAGCGCACAATGCGATTCGTGTCTCACGAGAGAGTGGTAACTTACTTTTGAGTGGTACTGTAAGTTATGCCAAAAATTGCCACTTCAACATTTATTGCACGACAAGAATGCGTAGCACACGACTGATTCTCGTCGCAAAGGAAACGAGACACGACTGGTAAGTTTAACTTACTTTTGAGTGGTACTGTAAAACGGAGACTCATGGAAAACTGTTTGATTGGCATTTGAATGGATAAATAAGTTATTCAAATGGAGGTAATCCATTTGAACAGATGAATAAAATAGCCAAATGGACTAGCAATCCCTTTGAAGGGATTGGCTTAACTGCCTGCAAAAATCATTCCGTGGAGGATGATAATATTTTGTCTTTGAGAAATGCTTTAACAGAAAGAAAAGACTATTTCAATTTCTGTCTTATCAAAATAAAATGCTATTGATGCTGAATTAAACAGTTAAGAAATTTGCAGGGTTCTCAGTAAGTGCCGGCAACCGGCTACTTTGAGGTATGAGCTGTCTACAGTGAGGGTGTGAAAGCCTCAAATTGCCTACAACACTTGATTGCCAATCCGCCTTTTACATCCTAGCTGTCTACTTTAAAACTTAATGAGAACCCTGGATTTGAAATACCAATTTGCCTTGAATTTTCTTGTTTACTAAGAAACACTAATGTCATGTGGACGATGAAAAATGACTCTGCTCAGCAAAAGTTTGCACCTCAACTTCTCAATTTGGTTTTCTTGTCGTGAAACATTTTTCAGTAAGTGAATGATAAATCTCTGATTCTTTTTCAACAACGCAGAAACTCGGGTGTTTTGTTTGTAACCTGATACCACCCTAATAAAGAAACTTGCTTATGTGCAGCAGCTTTGCATTGCTTGACATTCCCCTTCAAAGAAAACTGCCCTGCTATAAATTCATGTGAAAATAAATATTTAAACTATTAGTTTCACAGCCAATATTGTAATAAATATGGACTAGAAATATGCATCTCGGATGACGGATTGGAAAAAGGCAAGTTTGCTTGCAACTTTAACTTGGGTTGGCCAATCCGGTAAACATATGATCCTGTCACCTAAGCACACTCATCTGCAATTTGATATGCTCTAACTGATATTCTTTTCCCTCCGTTTTCGCTCTTATTATCAAACTACTGTTCCAAATTGAAAATGTGTGACCTTCTTTGGGAAAACGTAGACTAAGAATAATCTGTTAGCCATTAGAAAGCTAAACTGGTAGCTAATGGCTTTTCTAACGTTCTAACGGTTTGCCCAAATGCTCTAACAGTTTGTCATAACTCTCTAATGGTTTGTCATAGCGCTCTAACAATTTGTCCAAAGACTCTAACAATTTGAGAGTCAAGGGTCTGAATCGAATTTTCTAGCACTTTTTGGTAACATTTTCTTTCACAATGCTATCAAGATCATTAATCTATTAGTCTTGGTGGCAAGAGCATGATGGCACATTCTTTTCCGGTAATAATCGCCATCAGCAGGCAAAGCATACACATTCATTCCCTCATAAGCAACAATTTTTTTATTTTTTGGAAATAGATAATGCCAGTTTTTGTTCATGGACCATTGTTTTAAGAGTTATTCTTCTTAAAAATATGGCCAGCCAGAAACGATACATGGCTGAGCTAAAAATAATGAATTTGGCCAGTCATCTTGTCTGAGGACTCTCCAGAAATTATTTTGAGCCCTGGAAATGCAAGAATGAGCTTCTGGAAGAATAATTTATTTCCTCCATTTGTTTTTTTTTTTTTGCCCCTTTTTCGATATGATCATTTCAAAACATTTAGTTTGGCATTTCCTTGTGAGTATTCTGGTGCAAATGTTTCCGTTTTTCAGAGGACTTATGTCAAGATGCTTTACAACATTTTAATTTTGCTGTGATAATTAATTGAACATCTTCTTTAGTATTGCTCCGCTTAAGGTTTCCAATCAATTATTGATGATAATCAAAGACTTGCACACCACTACCAGGCTTTGTTTAGCAATCTTGTAGTGCCTATTGGAGAAACATATTTACTTTTGTTTGATTCTGGACTCTTGTTTCCTTATTAATTATACATAAAACTCCATGTTCAAATTTAAGTGTCAATTTTATGGCCTAAATGATGAACTACAATGGTTTGTCCATCTTGATTTTGAAGGGTGCAAGGCACTTAGCAGTTACAAAAGAGCCGAGCCAAGCAGAACAATCAAGTCAGGAACAAAAAAACTATTTGTTGAATGTTTTTCAGGATCCAGGCAGGATATTCTGTAGTTACTGCAAACTTGAGAAACTATTAGCCGCAATAAAAAGCTTTTATGTTTCAAAAGAGGCCAAAGAATTCCCTAAAATACTTCTGAGACAAAAAGCACAGGAAACACATCAGCCTTATGACTTTTCAATCAGCAAAGATAACATTTGTTCAGTCAAAAACAAGTATCCTCTACAGCATACTCCACCCGTATTTCTAAGGTTCAAGTTTTACTGATCAAGCACTCTTTTGTTGTTGAGCTCGGATGGGTCAGGGAGTTTACACTGCATGACAAAGGGCACTGTTGTTTGATCTGCTTTTGTTATTTAGCCAATTTCCTGTCGTAAAAAGAGATTAGTTTCTTTTTAAATGAAGGGTAGCAGAAGACGTGTCTTAAATTTTCAGATCTATTTCCTTTAAAAAATGTCTTTCGAGGATTTCTTTCAAGCGGAAATCTTATCTTGGAGTGCAGCCTGTTTGTAGCTTGCTAAATTTGATTCATTTCCACATGAATGCACTAACTTTCCCTTGGGAGATAGTAGAGATATTAATTATCATTTGCTTGTCATTTTATCGCTTCTCAGCCAGTTAGAAACTCCTTTAAGCCTGGCTGCGGACTATTCAAATTATCCAAGAATTGTGGGAGGCAGGACAAATTTACTTGTATACCCACCTTTCTCCTGCCTCCAATGCCAAAACAATGCCCCACTCCAAACTCCAAAACTAATCCTGCCAGCTATGCAGGCTATACAGGCTCCAGCACCTTTTTGTCTCATGCTCACCGATTTTTTTTTTCGCCCAGCTCCACTTGGGTGCCTGTTCACAGGCTAAATCCAGGGAACTTCCAATTTAAAGAAACTTTGTAGCATGTCAATACGGTAATTGGACCTTTAAAATTATGATTTTTGACACTTGAATGTTTTGGCTTCAATAACATTTGCATGTACCTGTGTATTTCTCATTGCTCCCTTGCCAACATAAGTCAGCAATCTGAGCAATCAGGTCATGATACTAGAATCTGGTATCATGAATGGGCATCATCAAAACAAAATCTACAGCACCACCACCTATTTTTCCTTGCACTCACTGATTTTTTTTTTTTTTTTTTTGCCTTTCTTCATGTGGAAGCCATTTTTGCATGCTAAATCTAGGGAACTTCCAAAGTGACTGGCCTAAAAATAATAACAAAATTGTGACCATCTCCAGGATTTCTTACACCCATAGCCTGCATGGCAGGTGTTGAAGGGAGTAGAGAAGGGAAGAAAAAGAGAGGGGAATTGGGGAGAGAGGAAAAGGGACTTCCCCACCCTTTTCCCACTGCTTTTTTTTTTCTACCCCTCCCAGTCCCCATTTTCCACCTGCCATGCAGGTTACACACCAAAGCTTTTCTATGTATTAAACAGGTAAAAACTAACGCTAGTGAACAATTTTTGAAAGCATTTTAATGGTTTCATAAAGGCCTTGAATGGATGAGTGAAAATTTCTAACAGCTTTGGAAAGTATTTGAACAGATTGCCTTGTTTTTTTTTTAACAAGGTTTGCTTAACGGGTTGACTAGATGACATTAATGACATACACGATTGGAGTTTGATTGTTTGATTTGGTGTTCAAATCACAGCGATTTTGTATTTCATTCATTCAGTAGATTTAAGGTTCACCAAAACGGATACGGTATTATTACTGGGCTGCCCGGCAAGCCCAGTCATAAATTCGGTTTTCGGTCGTCTGTGGCGAAAAACGGCCTCCCGGGGGAGGGAAGATACGAGGGTCTGGTACCGAGAAACGATGTTTTCACAAATGGTTCCATATGATTTTTCCTTGCACGGAGCCTTGCACGGATACTTTTTGTACCTCGTCTCCGCTCTCTCTGAAAAACCCACAAGGCGTTGCGAACCTGAAGAAGGCTATTTGCGTTGTTTGAAGCGATTCGATCATAGGAGTCACTCTATAATTTTTTTATTGTTCGAGGTTAAGTCAGTTAGATGATGTTGGCGCTGGGAGACTCAGAGAAATGCTCACGTTGCATACAAACCGACACGCCATTCACGGTAGGTTCACACCAAAAGATGACTGTGAGCGTCAGGTTTGGAACGCCGGGGCTGCTTCGTGAACTCAAAGAGAGAATTATCGATCGATTTAGTACATGAACAATTAAGAAGCACAATTTATGAACAAAGTATTTCACCAGTTGATGACACTATGGCTGAAGACTTGATTGTAAGCTGTCGTAGTCAGTGAAGCGAACAACTCAGTTGCCGATGAATGTCAGATGAATCCTGATGTTACGCACGTCCATGAGCGGGGGATGTGACAACTTTGCCATGTTAGAAGACTGGCTTTTCCTTTAAATATTTCCTTCTATTTAATTTGGAGGTCTAAATTTCGGATACTGAGGATAAAGAAGACACGGACAAAAATAGGAACTCTCAGAATTTCGCACACAAGTTCAAGGCTCGACTTGAGGAAAATAGGAGCTATTACTGACAAGGTTTGTTGACTGAGTAGAGCATACAAGTGTAGCCCACTTCGAGGTTTCAGGGGGTTTGCTTTTGTTTGTATCTGTATCTTGCTAAGCTTTTATCATTAAATTTGTACATGATCTTGTGATCACAATTCTGTGTGTTCGCCCATTCAGCAAACACGCTATATTGATGTCAGCATTAGCGAGTTCCAGAAACATGCCTTTGAAAATTTTCACCTCTCCTGATGTTTCTTGATATTTCTTCTACCATTTTATGGAGATGTAAACTGAAGTCACCGCTTAATGGAAACTTAAAAAAGCGTATAATCCATTTATCTCGAAGCATAATACACATGACTTATATGACCTTTATTTTCCTAAAGGTGTTTTGAATACGAACGAACACAGTCAATGTCAGGGGCAGAAACAGCATTAATATACTCAGTAAATGAACTGTAGGGTTTTAACTAATATAAGGGTCAATTATTGTGCATTGAGATGTATCGCTTGAACTGTGAATAGTGATTCCATATTGTTTAGCTGGCACAAAAACTTCGGAGGAGTTATAAAGCGGCATAGTTATCGTCCATGAAGAAAAGTTAGTCATGGGTGAGACAAACAATGAACTCGAGCGAATTTTTAACTCGTATCGGTATCAGGTGAAAAATATATTGTCGATCGTTTCATCTATTTACATTGTTTGAAGTGCATGCTGATGAAAGCAACATGTGAGCGAGAAATCTTTAAACTTTTTTAGGTCACAAAATGCAAGGATTTTATTCCTTTAAGTTAGAGAAAAATACCAAGAGGAAAATCTTAAAACTGTTTTTTTTTTTTATCTTGTGGAAAAAATAGTGCGTTTTCATGTAGACTGTAGACCGTAAATTAGGATTGTCTATTTACTGCACTTTTCACAAACATGCGAATTCTGAAGTTCAGAAGCCAACCGACGATTGCGTTTTTCACTGCTGTCAATCATCTTATCTTAATGGACCTCTTAGGAAACAAAACTTTACTTCACGGGTTCAAAAGGTCATGGTTTGTGATTTGTGGATTTCGATACGTTTTGTGTTTCTCTGTTTCAAGGTTCGTCGCTTGTGATGGTAATTATGATTGACGGCAGCGAAAATTTAGAGTTCGCATGTTTGTGAAAAGAGCAGCAAAGGCTCAGTGCAGTCAGAGGCCCCTGGATCAGGCGGGATCGATGGGCAGTTAGCTGTCTGTTTTAGTAGACGGTACTTCTGGTTTTCATACAATACAATATTTCTGTCTAGTGTAAATCAGCTCTGTCCGTCACACTTTATGCTCGTAGAACGACAACAATTTTTGGAATTTCCGGTTACGTCAAATTAGTCACGTTATACTGTCATGCTATATTTTGGGGCACAGAGGGATTGGGGGAGGCAGGGGTGCGTGAAAATAATGCAAATCGTTTCCTGGTTAGAATTAATGGCTATTTTGTTTATTTTTATTCATAATGGTGGAATTTAAAAGTTATTATACAGCCCCCACTTAAAAATGGTACTCTTTTTTTTTGGTTGCGAAAGTCCTTCAAAAGGGTACAATGCTCTCAATGACTTTATGTTTCAGTCTCACATGAGATTCTGTCGCATGCAATGGTCAGCGACAAGGTTTTGTAGTATCCTGAGTGTGTATAGCCGCCCCCTCTCCTCAGAAAAAATAGCCCCTTTGCAGCCCAGTTAAAAATCGCCTTTTGGCGATTCTTGTTACTGTTATTGTTATAAGAAATTATTATGGTTATTGAGGAACAAATTGCAACCAAATCAGTAGAGTTGGTGTTTGAAAATAAGAGTGTTGGTATGCAAATTTTTTGTTTCTACAATAGATTCATAATTTATGATAAGTACTGCCCTGTATGTATATACTTGCAGCACATTACTTACAATTATTAACCGCTAGTATTTAATAATATTAAATATAAGTAACTTTGAATGTTGTTGTTTCAGCCGGAGATGGTTGGGCACTATCTTGGAGAGTTTTCCATCACATACAAGCCTGTGAAGCATGGAAGACCTGGTATTGGTGCTACACATTCATCTCGCTTCATTCCTCTCAAGTAAAAGAATACTGGTTGCAATAAATGTGTTGAAATGTGATAAACACTTGTTGTGCTTCTTTCTTGTAAGACCTCTCAGTGTGTTTCCTTATTTTTATAGTAGCCTTTAAACATGAGGTGTCCAAATCTTTCCTCGTGTACCTAATATTTCTACCGGTCAATTTTTTTGTGTGTGTGTTTGGAGGTGTTGATGTGTTTTCACTTCAACTGCCAGCGTGGTGGTGAGAAGATAGAAACTTTTTCTCAGGAATAGTGGTTCAAGATGGCGGAGGCATTTTATAGGTTAAGACTTGTTTCCAAACTTCAAACTGACCTTGGACCCCCGGCCCTAAAAGCATAATTTCTCGTTTCTTTTTCTTTCATAAAAGATTTGTGGGACGGTTTATTTCGTGGTCGGGGGAGGTGAAATACTTTTAAGATTTGCCCATGTCGCTGATATGTGTACGACCATAAAATCATTATTTCTCTTTCTTTTTCTACAAACTTTTAAAAGGTGTTAGAGAGGTGAATTTATTTCTGGGGGAGGGGAGTAAGTCTAGAGTCCAGTCCAGCTTTAAGGAATTGCCGTTTTTCTTAGCCTCCCACGCAGGCGTTCTTAGGACCCCTTAGGGGTTCGTCACGCGTTCCTCCCCCACGTTTGAAGGCGTAACGAACCCCTTAGAACGTTTGCGTGGGAGGCTACTGTTTTGTCGGTTTGAGATGAAGTTTACTTAATATCCAACCCAACGGTTAAGTTCAGATTTGGCAACATCGTGAATTTCAGGGTTTTTACGATGGTTAACCATACTGTGTAATAAAATGAATATGTCAACAGCCTTACTTTCATATTTAACAACGGTAAATCGTTTACCCTTACCCCTCCTGAGCAGACCGCACTAAAAGTAACAGTGGAAAACTTTGGGAACAATGCTGGTATTAAAGACGTAGTAGTATGTGTAGCATTAGTTTTTTTAGCTTGGTTGATGATAAATCTGTCAACACCGCGAGGCGACGATTTGTGACGCCACATATACTAATTGGAATTTGCTGCTAATAGCGGCCACAAGCTAACAGCGGTCACGAAACAGTAGTATAGAAGATGATAGTCCCGTGACAACTGGCTAAGCCTTCAGCCTCTGCCACCCTCTAATTTCCGTGTAGGCTCAGTCTTTAGCCTTTGGTGTCTCGATGCGCCCGCGGTAATCCCTACCACAGCTAATAGCATTTTCGCATCTGCTGTTGCGGACGGTTCGCAAGCAGCCATTAAAGACAGATGGATTTTCTGGGAGCCATCTCGCTCTACGCTACGGGCGTGGCCGTTTTCGCCTTGGTCATGTCTACAGTCGACTCTCTCTTTACGGACACCTCTATAAGACGGACACCTAGAGTTGGTCCCTACCTTTCTTTGCTCCGTCTATTTGACTCTCTGTAAGACGGACAGCTAGTGCCGGTCCCAAAGGTGTCCGTCTTAGAGAGAGTTGACTGTATATTTGAAAAAATGTGCCCAAAGGAGCTCGAGGAGGAGGCGCACAGGAGCAAGGGGCGCGTAGGAGAGCATTCTCGCCAGAGCCCGTCGTTTCTTGGTCACGTGCTCGTGACTGCTTCGTTACAAATTAAGCCGAGTGGCTTTGGGGACGTGAATGAAGGAAGAAGGAAATGCCTTGAAATTTCTGAAATCCCAATGTTGCCTTTGGATTCTCCATCAAATCTAACGCAAGAACTGGGCCAGCTCATCGGTGTAACAGTCGATAAGCAAGACATTTCGATCGCCCACCGATTGCCCGGTACCAAGAGTAAGAAGGACGGATTTATTGTCAAATTCGTCCGTAGAGAAAAGCGTGACGAATTCACAAGTCACGCAAGCACCTCACTTGGAAAAAAGGAAGCGTGCTTCCATCCGTGGCTTGTGAGATGCTGAAAAGCAGCTATGTACATCACAGGTAGCCCAAGCTCTAAGTACCGTAAAATTCCGAAAATAAGCCCCTCCAAATTCTATCTTTTTGCTAAATGTGCACTTGTATATGAAACTTGAAAACAATGCCAGTGAATAATGAGGACGCGCACTTGTAAACACAAAATCTGGGGGAAAAATTGGCTATATTTGAGGCCCTATTTAAAAGAATTCCCTGATTTCAATGTTCTTGAAACTTGCAGGGAATATTTCTTGACGTTTGATCTCGGGATTGTCGAATTTATAAAAAAAAATTATCGAGCGGTTTTTGGAAAATGCGAAATTTTTAGGCATGGACCAAATTACGTCCAAAAACTGTATCAAAAGCAACTGAATGCAACTTAATAAAATTCTTCTTACTCGCGATCGCCCAGAGCAATTCCCCTCTTTTTTTGTATGCAGTTTTCAATGGAATCAAACCACTATGAGGTGAAGCCGCGTTCCCAAATCTTATCTTGAAATATTAGGGAATTGTGTGGCTAGCATGCTATTTCACTGTTTTTATGATTCTTAAAACTGCATTTCACAATATTTCGAAAACGCTCTCGTAGAGTGTGTTCAAACTTTGCCATAATGGAGACAATTATGGCAGGTACATACTGCCTAAAGCGATTTCTTCAAAAAACTCGTGGTACAGAGAAACACAAAGGTAAATGAAAAACGTAATGGCGACTCCGATTACAATAAAACCCAGATCATAAGAAATTTTCATCTTTATATAATACAGCTGTGGTAACCGTTTTTTCCATATCTTTACTCATGCCGACGTAGTTGATGCTCAAACTGGGGAGGTATCAACCCCAAAAAATCCAGTCGAGCCTCCTTAAGATGCATTATGTTTAAGTCTTTACGGCGCAAGACGTCGTTGATGATGACGAAATACAAGCAACGGTGCCAACGAAGTGGTTTGCTATTTTAGAAGGACGTGCGGAAGAAACACTTGGTTTGCTGAATTCGCCGAAAAAACCGAAGAGGAAAGGAGTAAAAGATTCTCAAAGTGGCGGTTTTTGCTTGATGTGAAAAACAATTTGACCACAAAGGCGTTTCAAAAGATCGAAAAAACTGAGAAAAACAGTTTTTTCATCAAACACGGTTATGCCTATCAGCTTCGAAACATTGAGAAGGGGGACACAGTGGCTTATTACCAAAACCGAAGAAGCCCCTGGTTCGAACGACCGCAAGAAACGAGGCGATGGCTGGAAGAACAGGAAGAAAACCTCCTCTAGAGTGAAGACGTAGATCGCCCAAATAGGAAATGATCTTACGAGGATAACCTCATGGTCGAGATAAAAATTATAGAGGACCCACAAGCTCCTTTGCATGTTGGGGCGAAGCGTTTGCCTGATTGACTTCGAAACAATCTCGTGAGCTCGCCGAAAGCTTTTTCGCTAATCATCCAGTTCGAGGGCGTCGAACTTACCAGGGGCATTTTCCCTTGATCGAGAACCATTTTAAGCACAGGATTGCTGGATACGAGATTGACGAGGAAGGTACGTTTTCGTTTCGTTCGTTTGCCCTCGCGCTTTGACAAAATCAGGGTGCCCCAGAAGAACATCGGCATCTACCAAGATCACGCTTTTCTGATTCCAAATCTCAAAACCACTATGCGTGTGCCAAGGGTCAAACAAGATTGACACGAGTCGGCAGTTTGCGGCGGCCCACATAGGTTTGCACAAGACGGGCAACCAAGTTGGTGTGCCGAGGAGAGCAAATCCAGATCCCTGAGACAGCGTAAAAAACGTTTTTAAGAAAAGAGGGCTTATTCTCGAAAGGCGGTAAGCTGGATGGAGCACGAGTCCCAGCGGAGGGGTGTGTATATCGATCACAAAATGTGTTGTCACGGTGGGAAAGGGTGTTTGCAGGCTATCGAATGCATCGTTTTTGCCCGCAAACAAACATGGTGTTCCAGTTCCGCGGTTGCCATTGGCTTGGCTGTCCAGACTGTTTTCAAAATGGGCGAAAGGAAGTGGTCGCTTTCGAAAAAACCAAGCAAGGAAAACGAAAATTGACACGAGAGATGCAGTATGCACGAACGCTAAAAAAAAAGGAATTCTTGAGGCGGGTTTTGAACGGGTCGAGTGTCAGGAGCACAACTTCCATAAAAGGCCGATTTATCTGAAAAGGAAAACAGAAACCTTTCCGTACGCCATTGTGTCCGATTTCTAGGCGTTGCTGGGTGCGAGCAAACATCCGCAGGGGACAAAAGACCTGCTGTTTGAAAACGAGCAAGTACCGGCGTCTGCTTCGCTGGCAGACACTTTGAACAAAGAGCCGGAACACATATCCAGCAAAGATCCGGAAGAGCTGATCCGGAAATTTCGGGAGGTGCTCGAACGAAGGGCGGCCGCCATCCGAGAAGGAGAAGGATTCCTTTTTTCTGCCGGAGCAGCAGCAAAAGCTTATAAGCCAATGGTGTTTCCAGAATCCAGTTCGATGTTTCAACTCAGAACGTTATAATCTGAATCTAATCAAGAAGTATTTTGTGACCCACATCGCACAATCCGGCGATGTAAAAGTGGCAAACAAAACAAGGTCATGTACATGTCCACCCCGGTGTTCAAGTTTCTGGACATTTGTAGCTATGTCAGCCCTGGGACAAGTTACGAAAAATGGGTGAAAACGTACGGGGCCAAGCTTTCGAAATCATGGCTGCCGTATGAGTGGTTTGACTGTGCTGATAAGTTGGACTTTGAAGGCTTGCCTCCGCATCGTTATTGGTTTCCTAAACAGGAAAAATAATTTTCCCTTGTCGTTGAAGGAGTATGAGGACTGCCAGCGAGTGTTCCGGGAACGGGGAATGAAAACGTTGGCTGATTGGCTGCATTTTTACAACAACCTTGCTGTTGAGCCCTTTCTAGACGCCCTGGAGTCCACCCGAGACTTTTACACTGGGTTGGGAATCCTCCTTTTCAAAGATGCGTTGTCGTTGCCGGGTGTCTCGATGAAATATCTCCTGCGGGGCACGCTGAACCAAAGAGAGGCCCGTAGTTGTACGCCCTAGGCAAGGAGGCTGAAACGCTGAAAGCGGCGGTTGTTGGGGGGCCGAACCTGATCTGCGGACGAAATAATGAAGCTGGCGGAGGCGTTCAAGTTGTTTGGCAACAGCGCATATGGCAAGCTAATTGAAGCCTTGAAAACGCAGACGACCGTGAAGGAACAAATGGAGGGAACGCGAAGCTGGGCTGTTCAAACTGAAGTTCGAGGGCATTCGCATGATCGCTCTTCGCGGAAAGTGTCATTGCGGCGAGGCCGACAACGGAAAGGTTAAGGCGTCCTCAAAAAGGGATTAAAACCAGGAAAACGAACTGCACTGAATCGGGTGCAAAGACGCGCTAGAGGGGGACGTATATACTGCCACCAACAGAGAAATGACAATGAACAGAGGGGTGATGTGCACCTACAAGCATAAAACGCTGGGGCTGAGCGCGTACTACGGCAAACGCCGGGTTCTAGAGGACGGCATCCTCACGGAACCGATTGTAATACCACATCGAGGAAGAGGAGCTTTGGGAGCGAGACCTGTGGGAGATTCTATGAGGGAGGCGGCAGCTCTGTGTCCGCAGGCACGACAAGAAGTTTCTCGCGAACAAAGCCACGCTTGGGGCCGTCATGCAAATAATACAAAATCAGTTCGTTGGGCTTGATGATGTTTTTATTTTGATGTAGTGCACTTTCAAAGACCAGATCGGATCTTTGGCCCTTTCCCTTCCACCTTCAAGCTAACCAGGTTTGTAGAGATAAAGAACAATTGCAGAGGAGTGACTTCGAGTGACTTCGCCTTTCAGAGCGGAGACCGGTGCGGTTGAATCTTTCCACGATCGCCTGGTGCCGGTAAATATCCATCCGCCCGCGTCGAATGTTTGTTTTGTGTTTTTCCATCTCTTTGGTGGCAGCCTCATGAACTCGCGCCCAGGGTCCACAAAAGCTGTGGCCATCTTAAAGTCAGGGTTCAGCTTCTTTGAGACAGCTGGCCACATAGACTACAGTCAAAGCGTATTTGTATGTTTTTCGGCCCCGGCCATGCCTCACAGTATCGTGTGGAAGGAAAAGAGGGTCTGCCTGGTGAACGGCGTTTGGTGTTGACACATCTAATTTGGGGTGAGGAATGTGTTTTGGCGTAGGAAGATAGATTTGTCAAAGGGCTTGGCGTGTCAGCCATTTTTTTGCGTCATTTTCGGGAACCTTTGCAGCGATTGCAAGTTTTTGATAGCGGCGATACCTTTCCAGTAACCTTGATGGCTGTAGTAAATTTTCGATAGTTTCTCATCCATTTCTATAATAACTATTGAGAACAAATGTAAAATGGATCCGCAGACAAGAGACAAAATGTCAAAAGTCATCGATGAGTTAAAAGGTGGGGAACTTTCTGACATGCCATGAAGAAGTTAGCCCTCAGAATGACAAAAAAAAACTTTGGGACGTCGTGGATAGCCCGCTCAAAACGGAATTCGTAGAAATTGAAATGTAGACACTTGGTTCTTTGTCCGATTCTGGTTTCGAGCGTCAAAAAAAGATTGAAAAAGTAATTAGCCAAAATGGACAATGTATTTTGTTGATCGAAAATGTCGCGAAAAAGAGTTCGAGATAGAATGGCCAGGGTTTTGGGAATTAGTTTGATTACAAGAATCGAAAGGCAGCGTAACCGAGCGAAAGAGCACCGGTGCCAACAAAAATCAGCTCGCCTTGTTTTTGCAGAGCGCTGGGCTGGTAAAAGTCAGAAAACTTTGGTTCGCTGGAGGCTGTAAGCGACTCATCTTGGTATATCAGGATGTACAGCGTGATGGCGTAATCGGTGTTCGTGAAGTTTTGTTTGGCCAGTTCTTTTCTTTCGTGCAGTGTTTCGATCCAGTCAAGCAGCTTCGTTCGATTTTTTGGGGATCTGAAATAAGAGGCTTGGTAAGCTTCGAAAGCTTTGTCTTATCCTTTTTTTCTTACAGGGCAGCCTTTGGGTCATCGCCAGAAAGATAACGGGTAAGATAATTGCCGCCAATGACAGACACAGCGTTAAGGATAGCACCGCCAGCCATGATAGCAACACTTGCCACGCTATATATAAACCCAGACGTTGTCTGGGAGAATTTTTTATCCTCGAGGTATTGCTTTAGACCAATGGCTACAACCAACACGACGGTCAACTTAACGTAGTTCTTCGCATTGCTGCTGGGGCCGGCAGTGAAGTTTTCTTTCACAGTTTTCTTCGCACCCCAGCCGATGCCGGCGGTCAAGCCGGTAAGCGTTGCAACACCGAAAACAGTTTTGACGAGCTTGTTGTCAGACATCGTATATATTTATGTGAAAAGAGTATTCCTTGCCTCGGACATCTCCGCGAGGTGGATAAAAATATCTTTGATAAGGTGAAACGCTTCATCAAAAAATTGTTTGGTTGGTAGTTGGGCAGTGTCTCAATAACTCTCCACAAGCCGTAAAGCATTGCAGTGCTGAAAGAACTTTTGACCAACTTCTTGTCTGCCATGGTTGTAAATATATTATGTGAAAAAAATTTCAATCCATTAACCGAAGATTGCGGCTGGGTTGGGCTTTGGCTTTGGTTCTGGCGCAGACGCAACATCTTTGCCGGGTGCGGGGGTTCGCCGGAGGGTGGTCATAATCGCCTCTCGTTCATAATAAACACCCACAACGGAGACAACCAGACCTCCAATTCCAAGAAGCAAATAACTGTTGACTCCGCCGCTTGGGTTCTCTGACTTCTCTTTTTCTTCAGCAGGGGCATCTGGCGGTTTTTGGTTCTTTTTTGCCTCACATCCTAAGCCATTTCGTTCGGCTAACTTTTTTTCCAGCTGCAACTCGCCCAGGGTCTGCAGGTTTTGTCGTAGGAACTTTTGATAACACCTCCTCTGCATCGGCAGGTACCGCATGTGCCTGCCATTTCTCAGCTATGTTGTATATAATAAGGTGAAAATTTTCACAAGCTCTTAGTCAGCTTCTTGGACAGGTTCCTTTGCAGGTTCCTTCTCAAAATTGATGTGCTTGGCTGTGATCAGAGCAGCATTGCCAAACGCCAGCAGGCGGCCGGAGCGCAGTGCCATATTTCCAGCCACAGACGAAAACGTCGAGGTAATAACGAAGTCCTTTTGCAAGTCCTTTTGCAGAGCTTCCACGTCATCCACTTTGACGACCATACCGATAACCTTGCTGGCAAGCATAAAAATCCTCTGAAGCAGCGTTTCGGTGGTCTTGCTGCCAATGTAGGCCTCATATCTTTTGTAAAATTTCTCCGCCTCATCGTCCGTGAGGCCTTTCACTTGTTCGTGAGAAAGTTGGGAGCCGAGCACCTCTTTGTTTTGTCGGTGGATGCAAGAACAGCCAGCTTTTTGCATTGTTCTGGAATGTTGTTGGCAGGGAGCGAAAAAGGAAAATCTAAGGGTTTAGAGCGACCTCCAGCAGTTTCATGACCTCGCTGAGCGCGTTCAGACATGCTGTAAAAAAATAAACTGAAAAAAATTTATTCCGAAAGGGTGGCGCAAGGGGAAGTCCAGAAAGGAACATTTTTTTTTTCAGCGCTGCCATCAGTTCTTTGTACTGTTCAGGGGAAAGTTCGCCTGCGTAGTCCTTAAAGATGGCTTTCATGGTTTTGCCCAAGGGAGTGTAAAACAGAAAGATGGCCACGTTTTCGTGGAATGGTTTTGCGATGCTGGTGATCTGCTGGGTTAGAAGCCACACGCTGATACCTGCATGGCGGGCAGAAAAGCGGAGAGAGCCCAGCTGGCCAGTGCGGCTTTTCCCGACTTTTGAGGCGGTGCAGTCGTCCAAAATGATGAGCGTGTTCGTGCTCTCAAAAAATGGCTGCTGAGTTTCAGTCAGAGTTCGACCTCTTCTTGCAGGAAGACAATGACAAAAATGCGTGAATCTTGATCCACAAACCTGTCGTAGGTTTTGTTGTGGACAAAGCTTGGACATATCAGTACCATGTAGTCGAACTTGCAACGAAATGGGCCACGCCGTATGTTCACGAGGAACTGAGTGTTGCCAGAGTTTGTCGGCCCCACGGTGAGTGCGTCAAACAAAATGTTGTTCGGGTCCATTTATATCTTAATATTCGACAGACACGAGCTGTCTATCCAAGATGTTCGTCTGAGCATTGCTGATTGTGAAAAAGTGGCATTTCACATTTCGCGAGCCAGATGTCTTTCTATCGACCTCAAGGAACACACCGTCGTTGGTGTTTACAAGCTTGACGCCGCTGCCGTGCATTGTTGTGTCCGCCATGGAACGAAGGTCGATAAGCAACCCAAAATTGTTGTCTGTATAGAGCATTGTGAAGGCCATTTTGCTGGGAACGTGTTTATCTATCGTGGCTATGTCCCGCCACAGATCCTGTCCCTTGGTTCTGTTGTTGTAGATCTTGTTTGGCGAACCGTTAACCGTGACTCTCACTTTGGTGATGTTCGGGTTAACGTATTTTTCCGAGTCTCGGGTGCCGGCGGTGTAGGGTTAGATAAAGAGCAGACGACTGCTCTTAAGCGACAAGCGCTGAGGGTTCACTCTGATGTTGAGCCTGTTGTCCGTGGCTTTTGCAAAGGTTACCTCTTCTCGCATGATATGATCCTATGCGAAGGCCTTGCCGCTGTTGTACACGGTGGTTGCCACGTCTGCCAATTTTTTGCTGTGGGTGGTCTCATACTTTAGCTGAATGTTTGTCAGTTTGTAGACCAGCTTTGACGCGCCTGAGCCTTTTACAACCTGTAAAGCCGACGCAAGCGTCAGTTTGAAAATAAGATCGTTGTAGAGGGCCTCAATATCGTTGTATAGGGCCTCTGGGTAGAAAAACCCATAATGATTCAAAATAGGGTGGTCCAGCCGGGTGTTGTAGTTGTTACCCAAAACGGGGTCAAAAGCTTTTTCAGCATCCACGCACGTATTCTCTTTGTCTTTGGCGTCCGAGCGAGTTGGTTTGAATTCCTTCCGGCAGCATGGCTTATGAAAGCTAGGCTGGCAGCCCTATTCGACCTTCAAATCAGGCTTGTGGCCGTTTAAGTGTGCCCACACCCTAAGAAAATACAGACTCGTACTGCTGCAACAACTGATCGACTTTACGTTGCATGAGCACTTCTGGAGTCTTGCTAAGCTTAAGGTCTTTGCTTTCATCCCAGTTCAGTTGAATTTTGGAGAGTCAGTCACGCCCAAACAATGCTGGCCCCGGTGTCTCATCAACTTGCAGAGTTGACTCCTTTTCCTGGCCCCTAAACTTACATTACACTTCATCTCTCCCTTAGGTGTGATTTTCTGCCCAGTGTAGGTTTTAAGCGTTACAACGCTCTTTGCAAGTTTAACATGACAAAAATGTTCCTTATGCTGTTTGTATGGGAGTACAGACACAGCTGAACCTGTTCCATCTTGACCACCCTTCCCTGTACTTCGGGGCTGACCCATATGACATGATCCTTGCTGCTCACGTTATTAACTTCTAGGGATCCCAAATAATCATCGCTGTCCCCCTCATCACTGTCCGCATAATTTACTGGGGTTTGGGCAGCTTGTGTCTCCTTTTTTTGGAATTTACAAGCCCTGACAATATGGCTGGTCTTGTTACAATGATGACACTTTTCGTTTTTGAACGGACAACGTTTATGATCATGATTTCCCAAACAGCGGTAGCAACTTTGAGCACCGGACTCTTTAGAGGATGGGGAACCCTCCTTCCCTGAAAACTTAGCTTCTTTCTTAGGTTTAGGCTTCTTGCTTGGCCTTGACTTGGCTAGCAAATCGACTGGGTTTGGCTCTTTACCTCCATAGAGAGCTTTAACATCCTTGTAAGATTGCTCAATAGCGATGCACTTCGCTACGGTAATGTCAAATGTCAGTTCCTCGAGTTTGAGATTCAAGAGCTCTGACATCATTCTCTTATCTCGAATACCCGAAACCAATCTATCTCTGAGCCTTTCCAAACGCATGGCATCATTAAACTTGCAATCCGTAGCTTGATGCTTTAAAACAGCAGCATAATGACTCACCGTTTCTCCTGCTTTACGCGCTCGCTTGTCAAACTCATACCTAGCGACTAAGGCAGATTTCTGGAGCTCTAATTGCTTTTGGAGACGCTCTACGGTCGTATCGTACGTGAGAGAATCTTCTCCTAACAATATCGGGGCCATCAAGTCTTTCGCCAGTTGAGAAGATTAGTTAACAGGACGGCTTTCTTCTGTTTCGAGTCGGCCACCCCATTGGCCACGAAGAAGCATTTTAGCTGTTCTGCATACGCCTGGAGGTCAGCTCCCACTGTAAACTTCTGAACTTTTCAGATGTTACGAACCGGATTTGGTGCCGCATCAGACTCGTTTGGCATCTTGAAACGTCGTGTGGATCTTGTTTACATTCTTGTTTCACTTTTTCGCAGCAAAATATTCCTTAAAGTCCCATCCTCGTCGCCAAAATTGTCATGTATTGACGAGAGATCTGAGCACGCAACCCGACAACATGGCGGTTCACTACAAAAATGTTAATTGAATCTATGCGTGCATATGTGATTACTATATATGGTAAACGCACAGGGAGACCATAACACTCTTAACTAAACGGCTTAAATACTTCCAAGAAACACGAGTCAACAAGCACATAGTTCGGACGAACAGAACGACACGACAGTGGTCACGTGACCCCTGACAGGTTTCCAGGACCGCACATTCCTCCCCTTCAAGTTCCTAAACAATATGTGGCATCTCGCCTTAAGCTAAATGTTCATGGGGGCAGGAGGGGTCCATCAGTAATAACGCTGTGGTGGTCTCCGGTCCCTTACTGGATATCTTCGCACCGAGGTGGCAGGGACTAAGCTTGGGTCTTCGGGTGTAGTGGGTGACTCCAACTCCCCACAGGTTACTTCAGGGCTATTCACATCGGGTAATGCAACCTCCGGAACAACACTCCCCTCTTTGCTATAGCCTGCCCTTTGAGCTGTTGGACTGGGGCAAAGAGGCTCTGTAGTACGAGAAATTAATTGGTCTTGATGTCTCCGAACTACCATTCCATCTTCTAGTTCGACTCGCGCAGAAAGAGGGCCGGCTTCCTGGATGATAGTTCCAGGGACCCACTTCGACCCCCGGAAGCAGTTTCGGACACTCACGGCATCACCAAGCTTCACTCCGCGTTCGGCTATGCTGATCATGCTGTTTCTTTTGTCTAGACTGAGCCAAATGCACCCTTGTCGCTACATCCGGTCGCAGCAGATCTAGGTGAGACTTAAGACTACGTCCCCACCGTAACCTAGCTGGAGGTTCACCAGTGGTGCTTTGCAGGGTAATCCGGTAGCTTAGAAGCCAACTTGGTGTCATCAGAACCGTCACCCTGTTTTTTAATCCCTTGCTTAAAGGTCTGCACCGCTAGCTCCACCAGACCATTTGTACTTGGGTGGTAAGGTGCTGAGGTAATGTGCTTGATGCCATTTTTTTTGCAAAAATGACTTAAATTCACTGCTCACAAAATTGTATTTATCATCGGACACTACAATCTCTGGTAAAGCATGTGAAGCGAAAGTTGACCTCATCTTGTCCATGGTCACACTGGAGGTGGCAGAGTTCACACAATGGATATCCATCCACTTGGAATGGGCGTTAATAATCAGCAAGAACATCTTTCCCATAAAAAGGACCCGCATAATCTACGTGCACTCGCGACCAAGGGCGGCCCGGCCATTCGCAAGGGTGTAATGGCGAACAGGGAGGAGTCTTTTGGTGACTCTGACAAGTAGCACAACTTTTCACCTTCTCTTCTGAATTTGTGTCCATTTTTGGCCACCAAACATAGCTCCTGGCTAAACTCTTGATTTTGACTATTCCCGGGTGAGTATCGTGTAATATGTTCAACACCTCTTCTCTCCCTTAAGGGGGTACCATGACCCGAGCTCCCCATAAGAGGAAGCCAGCATGTACACTTAGTTCTTCTCTTCTAATAAAATAGGGCTTCAGTGCTTCTTCTTCTATCTCTGAAGGCCATCCTTGAAGAACAAACTGTATAACTTGGAAAAACACTGGATCGCGGGCTGTCCACAGTTTTATCTTAGAAGCATCTACCTGGCTGTGTTGATAGTTTCTATGACGTGTACAATGTCCTCTGGGACGGGCGTGGACCCCGGGACATCTAAAACGGTTAGGCGGCTGAGTCCATCCGCAATATCTTCAAGTTCCAACGGTCGACAATTGTTCACTCTACAAAAGATACAAGAACAAATTGAATCAGACCTTGCGTTTGGCTAAGCGTCGGTATTATGAAAAGAAATTGGAAGATGCTAAATCAAATACACATGCGACCTGGAAAATTTTAAACGAAGTCTTAAATAGAAAAAAGTCGAGGCCTCAATTGAATACAATATTTAAGTCAGACGGTCAGGAGATTTCTGATCCAGTGGAAGTAGCAGATAGGTTTTGCAGCTACTTCTCTAGTATTGGTCCCAACCTCGCAAAGAAGATACAGCCTCCTCCTTGTTCACATAAAGATTTTCTATCTGGATCATTTCGAGAATCAATCTTTTTTAGCCCAACAACAGAGGATGAAATTATTACCATTGCTCAATCTTTTGCTTCCGGGAAAGCGGCTGGATATGATAATATTCCAATGTCTATAATTAAGAAATCTATTCAAATCATTTCGGGACCTCTGGCTCACATTATGAATTTATCGATCGCTCATGGCGTTGTACCAGATCAAATGAAAATAGCTCGTGTGGTACCTCTGTTTAAAGCTGATGACCAGTCACTATTCACTAACTATAGGCCTGTCTCGGTTCTACCAAGCTTTTCAAAATTTCTAGAGAGAATCATCTATAATCGTTTGTATGATTATTTAACTAATTTACATATTCTCTGTGATAACCAGTTCGGCTTCAGGAAAAACCACTCTACGACGCTTGCCTTGATTGATTTGCATGAAAAAATTTCATCTGCTATTGATCGTGGTGAATTAGCGGTTGGTGTCTTTTTAGATCTCTCGAAAGCTTTCGATACAGTCAATCATTCCATCTTATTTGATAAACTTGAACACTATGGTATACGTGGCTTGGCTCTGAAATGGATTAAGAACTATTTTTCCAACAGACTTCAATTTGTAGAATACAATGGTTATGTTTCGTATCGTGCTAATATCATGTGTGGCGTTCCCCAAGGTTCAATACTAGGGCCTTTGTTTTTTCTACTCTACATTAACGATATAATCAACACGTCAACAATATTACAACTGATACTATTTGCCGATGATACAAACGTATTTGTGTCTCACAAGGATAAAGACTGCCTTACTAATTAAGTGAACGCTGAACTAAATAAGTTGTCAATATGGTTTAGAGCTAACAGGCTTTCATTAAACTTGAAAAAAACCAAATTCATTGCATTTAAACCATCCCAAAAGCGTACAAATCAAACTATTCAAATTTTAATTAATAGTCAAAAAATTGATCAAGTAAAAGAAACAGTTTTCCTGGGAGTAATCATGGACGAAAATTTAAATTGGAAATCTGAAATCTCACATGTCGCCAATAAAGTTTCTAAATGCACAGGAATTATTCGTAAATCCAGTTTCTATTTATCCACGAAAACCTTACGAACACTATATTTTTCTCTAGTCTATCCATACCTTTTTTACTGCAACTTAGTTTGGGCCTCTACTTACAGAACTAACCTTATTCGTCTTGAGATTTTACAGAAACGAGTGATCAGAACTATAGCTAAAACCACTTTCGATGCACACACTGATCCAATCTTTCAAAATCTTGGTATCGTAAAATTTCATGATATATACTTAATACAACTAGGCTTATTCATGTACTCCTATCAAAACCATACTCTACCTTTAAAATTTCATTGTAAATTTACCTTACAAAGTCAAATTCATTCGTATAATACAAGAAACTCGTGTAAATTTCGTCTGCCTTTCTGTCGTACTCGAACCAAGCAATTTTCCGTTTTTTATCAAGGACCTAAATTTTACAACACCTTAAACACCACCATCATCAACGCTTCCTCACCTTTCTCCTTTAAAAGAGCACTTAAGGCATTTATTTGTAATAATTATTAGTATACTTCAACAAAAATCTTGGGAAAAAACCTTTTAATATTCAACATTTGTACATGTAAACTTCCGTAATATTGATTAGTTTAATTTTTCACCTGATATTATACTGTACCCGTCGCCGTAATTTTTATGCCATCTTCGAAAAATTGTAATTGAGGAGGCCTAATTAACATAAGCTCTATAGTTTCTTTTAGGCCTCCTCGCCATCTCTTCCTACATTTTTTTTTTCTTTTGGCATCTTTAAGTAATGTAATTGTGTGGCAAATAAATAAAAATACCTAAAATTACCATTCTCATTTCCAGGGCGATAGAGCAGTTCTTACTTATAAACTAGCAAAGTCAATGCCCACCTTTGCATTCTGCTTGAGGCCATTAAAGGCGTGGCTTTTTCGGGGTGTAGCAGCCCCAAAAGTGGTTTGTGATCTGTGTAAATCTGAAAATGACGACCATAAAGAAAGTGGTGGAACTTTTTTCACAGCAAGATCTACAGCTAGTGCTTCTTTATCTAGGTGACCGTAGTTCCTTTCTGCGGTAGAGAGTGTGTGCGAGGCGTATGCCACAGGTCTCTCTGATCCATCTTCCATAACATGGCCTGGAACTGCGCCAACAACATAGGGTGATGCATCACAGGATAACACCAGCTCTTTCTCGGGATCATAATGTACTAGTACGTCTAATGATTGAAGCTGGTCTTTGGCTTTATCAAATGTTTCTTGCTGTTCCACCTCCCACTTCCAAACAACATTGGTCTTCAGCAAACTATGTAGTGGTTCCAGAATGGACGAAAGGTTAGGTATGAACTTCCCATAGAAGTTAAGCATACAAAGAAACGACGTCAGCTCAGTAAGGTTTTTCGGTGCTGGGGCTTCTAGAACGTGCTTTACTTTTGCTTCAACAGGATCAAACCCCTCTACATCAACTCGGTGCCTCAGGCACTCCAAAACTGGCTTCATGAATTGACACTTTACTGCTTTGAGTCGTAGACCAGCTTCCGAGAGGCATCTCAAAACTTTCTCGATGTTGTCTAAGTGCTCTTCGGTACTGGGGCCTGTAATAAGGATGTTATCTAACAGAACTCCCGTTGAAGGGATTCCTTGAAGCAAACCCTCCATGGTTCTCTGGAAAATACCAGGTGCTGAGGCTACCCCGTAAGGGAGACGATTATGCCTGTACAGGCCCTTATGTGTGTTAATCGTTAAAAGTTCCTTAGAGTTCTCATCCACAAGCATCTGTTCATAGGCATGGCTTAAATCTAGCTCAGTAAATGTTTGACCTCCAACTAATTTGGTATACAGATCATCAAGGTTGGGGATAGAATAGCCATCCAGTTTTGACACTTTATTAACAATGAGCTGATAGTCTCCACAGATTCTTACAGTGCCATCACTCTTCATGACAGGGACAATCGGGGCGACCCACTCTGAATACTGGACTGGTTCAATGGTCCCTGCTCCTTCAAGTCTTTCTAGGCCTTGTTCAATTTTCCCCCTCAGAGCATAAGGTACTTGTCTGGCTTTATGGAAGATAGGGGTAGCCGTGGGGTCAACATGGATTTTGGCCTTTACCTCTTGTAGAGCTCCAACCCCCTCCTCCAACAGCTGAGTATGTTTTTGCAAAATCACTTGCAATCGCTTATTGTGTGACGAAAGTTATTTAATTATGGGCCAATTCCGCTTGATTTTCTCGAGCCAGTTCCTACCTAGCAAAGAAGGCCCCTTGCCGCGTACATCCAAAAGCGGCAGCGTGTATTCAACCCCTTCATAACACACATTCACAGAACAAGACCCTTAAGCTTTGACCTCTTCCCCGGTATATGTGCGAAGGACAATTCCTGACTCCACAACTTGGGGTGCTTGACCTGCTGGAAAAAGGGAGTTGTATAGTTCCTCGCTGATAAGACAAGGAGGCCCCCATGTCAACTCCCATTTCAAGGGATTGCCCAGCAACAGTTAGCTGTACTTTGTAGGGTAATGGGCGTTGACTGCCAAAGTAAAACAAGGAATATGCACCCACATCCTGTTCCTCCCCTGTTGTTTGCATGGCACAATAGAGAAGATTGGTAGGCTCGGAGTTGCCCGATTTCTGCTCATTAACTGCCTGTGG